GTCTGAGAAGTCCTGGAGAGCAGGAAGGTTCCACATGGCATCACAGATAATGACATTTCAGTGTCCTCTGGTTGAAAGCCCTTTTGATGAGTCAGAAACCCCTCAGTCTCAATGTGACCCAGGGCCCTGCTGCGTGAGGACTCCCCGCCTGCCTCCCGGGCTCTGCCTGTGACTTGGCCTGAAACACTTTCAGGAAAATGGGTCCCTGAGACACCTGGTAGCCACATGGTATAGGAGAAGGCCTTGGAGGGTCCTAAGCTCAGACCCCAAGGATGGCAGGAGTGGGCCGGCGGCCCACCATGCAGAGACATCGCTTAGCCCAGCACTATGTGCTCGCTTCACAACCGACACCGCGGCGGGAAGCTCCGGCTCCTCAAACCCTCTAGAACTCTCCGAGGCTCCAGGGAGGAGGCGGCAGAATCACTGAGAACCGTGAGCGCTGCTCACAGCTGAGGTCGAGAAGGGAGGCAGGATGAAGTGGTCACAGGGTGGCCTCCGGGTGGCCTCCAAGGGCTGACATCTGCCCTCTATCTTCTCTCATCAGTGGTGAAATCTGACTACCAAGAATTTAAGAAGATGTGAAGGGAATGAGTTTCTATTTAACCACAACCCTCCAAAGCTGTCGGTGTGACACTTCAGTTCAGCCTTAAATCGTCTGTCCAGAACTGTTTCAGTCAGGGGATGAATAAGCCGTCTGGACAAGCTAGTCATCAGGGAGAGGATACACTTTCTCCTCTCAGCTAGAAACAGCACGCAGACGTGGGGAGTGAAAGGTTCTGAGCTGCGCAGGAAGGCTGCCAGTTCCTCCCTCACTGCAATCGGGAGAAAGAAGAGCCACGAACCACGCTTCTCCCGGCATGGAAAGTGGTCGGCCGGCCGGCGAGGGAGCTGAGCACTGAGCTGCTGAGGGAGGTCTGCCCATGAGATTGGGTAACAAGGAGACCACACACACTGCGAGGAGAAGTCAGGCAGGCAGGCCAGCGTTTGTAGAGCAACGTGTCTCCGCCGAGGCCGGTCAACGCAGAGCCCCGGATGCCCCACCCCTCGGGAGACATTTCCGGTTCTTCTTCTTTTACAAACCCACGCTTCCTTGCACAGAAACAGACTTTCCGGAGCGAACACCATCCTGACCCAAACACTACAAAGCTTTCAGCCCTCTGAGAGCCAGATATGCTCCCAGTGCCCACACGACCCTCTGGAATACCTTTCCTGCCCTTCTCTTAGCCTTACGAAAAGAGCCTCACAAGGGCGCTTAGGCTGCGGCTGGTTTATGGGGACTGGCTTTGCAGGGCCGAGTTTCAAGGCACAGCGCTACCTGTGAATTACAGAGCAGTACCTTGTCCAACTGCCCGTAACTCACGCTTCGGTGTTGAGGGTTAAGACAGACAGGAGGAAGTCTTGCCATCCACAGGTGCTTTTGAGAGATAAGAGGTTACGTAAGAAGCACCTAGCACAACCCAGCACTGGCCCCCAGAGTGGAACACACTCCTAGCCATGAGCTTCTCAGACCCATAAAAATTGTTCAAGCAGCTTGAAGCAAATTTCAATAGTAAAATTTGGAGAGATTTTGAAAGCAAAAATACAAATTCCTAATTCTCTACTGAATTAACCTCAGCAACACAGGTAACATTTGATAAAAAACGTTACGTGTAGGACACAGATAGTGCCTGGGTTTGCCGCTAGGCATTCCTGCCTCCCACTTTCCTGGAGGACAGAGCAGGTGCCCAGCAGAAAGGGAAGGGCCCAGTGTCACAGTCTCACATCTACCACCCACATCACCTGAGACCAGGGCAGAGATTTTTACGGAGGTACTATAACAAACTCTGCAGCCTAGAACGAACAAACCAGTGGCTAAATTTAGTGAACTAAAGACAAGGAGATACTGACCTCAAGATGACTGCTCCAAGCTGAGAGAAGCCTTCCAGGAACATCACTGCTGCTGGAAAAGGCTTCCTAAGAATTAGCAAGGCTGGACCTTCTAAGACACGTGTCTCTCCATATCCCATTGGCTGAGAGGCACTTGCAAATCTCAGTAATCACTGTCCCTTGGATACCTGCTCTGCCAGGACTCCCCGAGACGAGATCTACTGGACAGATGCGGTGCTAGGGGTCCTCCTGCTCACTGCAGCAGGTCTCAGCCCTCCAGGTGCAGAGGGTCCCCTTCCAGTAAACCCTGAACCCACACACTAAGCCTACATGCTCTCCACCTCCCACAAGCATCCCTCACTGCACTGCACTTTCTAATGTGCAGAGAAGGGTCTCAGAGCAATGATAACTGAGCAAGTAACTGAAGGAAGAGGCCAGAGACCAACAGGCCGTCCAAGTCTGGGCCCATTTCCCAGCAGCTATGTGTGTAGGTCAACAATTCATTATCCAAAACCTTTGCAGCCAGATGAATTACAGAGCTCAGATTTAACACTCTCATCAGAGCCTGAGGAAGCATTCTATAGACTCATTCATTTCCGGTTTTGGGCACCAAAACATGAATATTCACAACAATCTTCTACCAGTTCAAATTATAAGGTGAAATCCAGGCTAAAGGGTAGGCGGCCTGGCACCACTTGGTTCATGTCCTTCCGAGAGACAGCTAAGCCCAGTCCGCCAGGGACAGAGGCTCCCAGCAGGAAACAGACAAGCAGGCAACTGGCCAGAGCTGGTGGGCGTCCTAACTGAGAAGGCCCATAGGACAGACCAGCCAGAAGCCGCGTGAGTTCAGCTGGAGAACTCCCGATGGAGAAAATGCCTTCCAAGCTGAGCCTCCCTGGCCTCAGCACCCAGAAGAAAAATGATTTCAACATATTTAGGAAATCAAAGTCTGCAAGACTCTGCCTACATCCCCAGAGGACAGTGTCCCGTCATGGGCCACAGAAGGATCCCCATGCAGCTGCAGACCAGACTTCTCACAGCCCTGATCTGGTGTGACAGGTGCCAGACAGGTCAGGCTGCAATCTTCCTGCCTTCTGGAAGCAGAAAGAACTCCTGTTAGCTGCTGCCTTTCTCTCTGCCCCAGGGTTGGCCTCCTGCCCTGTTCTCATTTCATTCGATGAAGCTCTCTGCTCACTGAATCCACTACCGTGGCCTCACCTGTGATCTTCATGCCCTTGGCTCTCATACCTCAACCATCAATCCACCTCTTCCCAACTCCAACTCATTTCCCACTAGTTATCACATGCCTAAGACTACTGATCCACACTGTGAATATCTGCTCATGTCCCTGCATCTCCTGGCCTGGTACTTGTTTGGGCTGCTCATGTGGCAGGCTCATTCTGGCCAATGGCGCATAAAGACAAATGTCATGGGCCATTTCTTTCTGAAGTTTTATCGATGAGTGCATAAGCCCCATGTTCTCTTCTCCTCCATGATACAAGAGCAAGATGGTAGAGAATCAAAAATGCACATCTTGAATCATGGCTTAGAAAAAGTCATTGGATTTGTATTGAACTGCGATAGAAACAAACTTCAAAAGTGAAAAATGGCCAAGATTTGAGTTTCTGGTGGAGCAGCCAATTTTAATTACCCAAACACACTGGCAAATTCCTACTTTTAATGCTCCAGTTTAAATGTCACCTCCTCTGGGAAGTCCGTCTTTGATGGGAAGCCAGTCACTCCATTCCATCGCCTCTGGCAACTCGCTATGCAACTCGCATAGCAATGGTCTCAGTCAACTGCCACATTTCTGTTTGCGTATTTGGCTCCCACATTTGTGTATACTTCCTCCTCCTTCCTTGCATGATCAGTGCCTTGCCACTAGCCAACACCCAGTACCTATGATTTACTGAAGCAAAAACCAGAGCCTTCTTACTAGGTGGTGAGCAAACCCCAAATCAGCATTTTCCCCAGAGCCACAATGAGAACAGCATTGTGCTAGGTTCTGTGGGACAAGGCAAGCAAAGTAAAAGCCACTGTCACCTCCTCTGTCTTTAGAGCCTTTGCAGCCACTATGTCCCATCTGTACTGAAGGACAGCTTCCACTTAAAAGGCACACAGTCTTCTCAGGAGCTATCAGCTGAGACATCGCTCAGCAAGCAAAGAGGGGACTGTTAGTGACAAGATTGAAGTAGAGCAGCTCTTCCGAGGCCCTCGGAGTCTGCCTCTGCCCCCTGCCCGCCGAGCTGAGATCCCTGAGCTGGCAATCAGGAACCGCGCAGCTGCATCAGGTTATTTTTGGCATGAAAGAGCTGCAGCAAAAGCACGGTGGCTTCTCAAGGACCCAGATGTGGAGATAATAAGCCAGCTGTGTGGAGTCATGTCATCACCGCTTGCCAAAGCGTCTCAAAGCCCAGAGCACAACACCATGCCACTGGTCAGAGAAACGGGGCAGGGGGATCTGTTCTTTCAAAACACAGTGAACTGGCTTCAATAATGGGCACTGTGAGCAGCTCCACATCTCCCAAGTCCCTGAAGAGAGCGATGTCTCTCTCGGTCCCAGCGCAAAGGAAATGAAGATCAGTTATTATGATGTCGTTTGCACAACTCCACATACTAGCATTTTACCCGCTGGGGGTGTGCTTTGCCATGGACCTTGAGTCGGTCCATTTAGTGTACACTACATGGAGATAGACAGCTGGTTTTTAGGCACAAATATCCACAAAAACCATGGCCACACAGGCACCATGCCCACAGCCTCAGGGGAGCACACCAGGACTTCTAGGACATAATTCCAGGAGGATGTTTGGGGAAGTAAAGGGAACAAGATTAGATTCTGCATTGTCCTGGAGGCTGGGATATAGAAATAGTAGAGAAGATAAGGAAAAGGTGTTAAGTTCAAGAGAGTTGGGGCGGTGGATTTTGACTTTATGTCACATGTGGTAGACAGGAGGTACATCAAAAATGGGGAAACAAAGTCAGAGGTATGCAGGAAATTGTTGCTGGCTGACACATTTCTAGGTCACATACCACGAACACAAAAATGAGCAACTCTCCCAAATCCCATCTGCGATACCAAATGCACACGTGGAAAGCAAGAAATTCAGTGCACACAGCACTGTCTGGCAACTCACCTTGCACAAAGATCCTGTCCCAGTAGGTTCTCCCAACCTGACTGCCCCCAAGAAACACCAGGTTGAACAGGATCAGCATCGAGGTGGAACAAGACGCCAGGGCAGCATGGAGCCTGCGGCGAGCTTGTGGGGAGAGGTGTCGGGCCTACGAGGAAAATGGCAAGAAGGATCTCATCACAAGGGTGGAAGGAATGGGCCCAAGACATCCTCTTGTGCCAGCCCAAAGCGTCTCTTCCCAGCCCTGAGCCTGTCCTCCTGAAATGGCTCTCACAACTTGTATCACTGCAACAAGTACATGTTGGCCTAAGGGCTGTACCTGCGATGACACCTCCTCCTCCCACACTGCACAATGCAACTACTGTAGCCAGTTAAGACTTAGCAGGATGTGAGGGATCTGACTGCAACACCTGTTACCCCATTGATGGCCAGGGCTGATCTAGCTGATCTGGCCGAGGAGGATGACCACCCTCGACAGAGGAGGACCGTTTCCTGGGTCAAGGGTATAGAGTAGCTGCACTCCCTTGCTAGAACCTCCAAACAAGCTCTCAAGACTTAGCTGGCCTCACACCCCACCCTTTGAGACAGTTCCACATGTGGAACACATCTGTGTGTAAATCTGTAAGTGTTCTCTGTGATGACCAGTAGAAACAGCTCCATGTCAAGATCAGAGCAATCAGAGGTCCAGGTCAGAGTGATCATCTGATTTGGGCCAGTTAAATTGACCCTTATGAGCCTGCCAACTGCCCCATAAACCTGCTGGACTACTAGGAGGGGGTCCCATAATGAGGGTGTGGGAGAATCAGCATGAGCCAACCTGCTTCTGGACTCAAACTCAGGACATACATTTCCCTGACAGCACAGAGCCACATCTGGGAACAGTGGTGATCCCAGCACCAGAAGCACTGAAGGCTGGAGGAATGTTTTCCAACAATAATGATAAAGGATGCTGCTCCTCCTTCCACTTCAGTCTACTTCCAATATTTCTTCAGGGATTGCATAAAGCAAACAAAGCCTTCCTTCATCACTGATCGTTCTGGTGGCTCCTCTCAAGTGATGTCACCACGTGTCTCTGCAGTGTGTAAGCCGTCGGGATGTCCCTGGGACTGCCTTCACAGTGAAAACCATGCACAGCACCGCAGCCCCAGCTTAATCCAATGGCACAGAAAGGAAAGGGAATGGTGGGGCCAGAACACCCCGCAGTGTCCCAGACACCTCTGGGGTCACCTGCATCCTCACATCCGCTCTGCTCCAAATCACAAACTGAAATCCAAGTGGTCGACTAGCAGAAGCCTCTGTAGTCCACAGCAGGAAAAGAGGACTGAACCAGAGGCTGAGTCCCTGCTGGGGGGTGTGCTTATTTCTGGGGACCTAGCTATGGATCACCTGTGGCCACTCTTTCAGAAATAAGTGAGCTTCTCCTGAAGCTTTGTGAAGGTTTCAGTCTAGAGAAAGGAGATCCTGCCCCTCCTTTTCCTCTCCCACTAGCTCTGGGGCTGTTCTGTGTGCTCAGACCTGGCTGCATCTTGCATCTCTCCACCATTGTTCTCTCCTCCAAACCCACTCTGGAGTACGCTGTTACAGCCACCAAATCTGAGTGCGGCTCCTTGTGGGTAAGCTGGGAAGCAAAACAGCTGAGTGTGACCCAGAAAGTCCTCCAGGGCTGCTGCCATGTCCCACTGGAAGCCCAGTTGTTTCACTGCTCCAAGAGGCTATGAGCAGGTATGAGGGGAAGCTGCCAGGCAAAAGCAGATAAGAGACAGCTGCATGGTGTACATTGCAGAGGAGAAAGAGGAAGGAGCCAGCTCATTATTCAGTACTCTTTACCTCTGAGAATAAGGAGACATTTGCTTACCAGTTTCTGCATTTGAAAGCAAAGGGAGATATTTTCTGGGTTTTGCTGACTCAATTAGCAGTCACTGGGGAAGCAGGATAAGAGGTAGTCAGGAGATAGGGAAAAAATTCAAAATATTAACTCAAGAAACTATGAGTTGGAGACTTCTGGGAAGATGGCAGAGTGGTGAACAGCAGAGAAACAACCCCTCCAAGATTTGGTGTCCAGTGCTGGAATATAGCAACACAAGGAAAAGGAGGGAGTGGGTCCCTCGAACCCAGCAGGGATCTGAAGCAAGAAGTGAAGCCCATGAGGAGAGCAGAGGGAGAGACCTCAAAGCAGGAGGAGGAGGTAGCAAGTGGCACTTTCTTCCTGAGCCCCGACTCATTGCAGGGGAGGGGAGGGGCAGCTTAAACCTGCACACGCACAGTAACCACTGGTGACCCCAGAAGTCTCCATGTAAAAACACACCAGTGGAACGGAGCAGTGGATGCAATGAACTGCTGTGGGTAGTGAGTTATTCAGGTTCAGATGTATCTCAGAAGAGGGCAATTGCCCCTTGGAACTCAAAGAAGCAATGGGCTGGCTCTATCTAGTGGCTCCTGGTGTTAGGATGAGGCAGAGCCAAGTTCAAGTTGGTAGGAGGTCATGGAGCTGAGTTCAAGCCAGCAAGAGGCACACAGAGTGTTACAGGCTGAACAAATTAGGTTCCAGCCTCATAGCCAGAAACCAGTCTGAACTTCAGTGGTACTAAAGGTGCAGGCTTGCTGGGATTAACCACTACCCTTCTGTAAATCTATGGTTGGCTTGTTGGGATTAATCAACACAGATCTGGGCTCTGTCTGCCCACTCTGTCTACCAGTGACAGCAGAGACATGACCTGAAGTGGACATTTTTTCCTTCTTTTTTTCTGTTTTTTCTTGATTGTTCTTATTTTTATATAAATGTGAACATTATTTCTAGTTTGCTGTTGTTGTTCTATTCTGTTCTTATTTTTATTTCCTTTTCTCTTTCCCTCCTGTCTTTTTCATCAGTTTCCCAAAGTTTAGAGAAGATTAGCCTTGTTTCTAATCTCTTCCTCTTCTTCTGTTTCTCTACATTTTTCCCTCTAAAGCCTTTAAAATCCCCCACCCTGCTGCCAGGGTAAAATAACCATATTGAGGGCATATTCACTATACACAATTTTCTGCTTTTTAAATTTTGTTATATAACCATAAATTTCATGCATATGGTTAAAGGTGACAAATGGTTACCACAGTTTGTCATTTTCTAGGCTGTGTTTGATCCTATTGTTATTACTGATTGTAATACTTTAGCCAAGGTGACATAGTTGCTCTAATTAAATGTTCTTCCTGGTATCCCAAGACTGAGATTACCTGAGGGTCATAAACAATATTATAGGCCAGTCCCAAAGAACCAGGGGCCAGGGCAAATAGGCAGCAACTTCTCATCCCCAATAAATTGAAGAGGTAGGATCCTGCAACAAACTCAAATCCCCAAAGCCAGCTACACCTGGAAGACATCTCTGAGACATAGTAATTTCTTAAGGGTTCTCAATACTAGCAAAAAACTACCTGCCATAAACAATTTGCAAGCGTCAACCCGTACATTAAACTAAAAAAAAAAAAGGAAAATGAGAAAATATGGAAGCAAGATGCAATCCCAGATCTCCAGCTTGCCAAAGGCAAACCCAGGGGGCAATGAGGTGGGACAATTTGAAAGTTACCCACCTGGACTCTCTGATGTGGTAACAGCAGAAGTAACAAAGCAGATGAATGAGGCTCAAGAAAAAAATCAAATCAGAAATAATTTCTCAGACAACTACAGACACGATGACCATAAGGAAGGACATGGTTAATGACTCTACAGCAGACATAGGTTAAAAAAAAATAGAGGAGCTTAGGAAAATGATGGAAACCATGAACACCCAACTTAGGAAAGAAATGCAATCCAGGAGATTAAAAATTCCATTGAAAGTATACATAGCAAAATGAGCTAGTGCGGGGACAGAATATCAGATATAGAAGACAATCATGAAAAGAAAGATTTAGGTTAGCAATCATGAAAAGAAAGATTTCTTAAAAATAGCAAGGGACCACAAAGAATAAATCCAACCACTGCTAGATGATGCCAAGAGGAATAACATAACATTGATCAGAGTCAATGAAAAAGCAGGAAATAGCACAAATGACATAAAAAGACTGTACACAGAAGTAATGGCAGAAAACTTCCCAAGAATGGAAAAAGAATTTGACATACAGATAACAGGCATATAGAACTCTACATAGTCATGATAAAAAAAAATCTACACCAAGGCATATAATAATCAAGATTCCAGAAATTCAACACAAGAATAGAATATTAAAAGCTGTTAGAGAAAAGAAACAAATCACCTATAAAAGAAAACCCATCAGAATCACAGCAGACTTTTCAACAGAAACCTTCAAGTCAAAGAGAGCTTTGAATGAAATATTACAAGCCCTAAAAGAAACAAATTTCAACCCAGATTGATGTATCCCTCAAAACTAACTTTCAAAATTGATGGAGAAATAAGATACTTCCATGAAAAAAAAAACCTGAAGAAATTCATGACCACCAAACCAGCACTCCAAAGCACTACAACTCCATGAATCCCAACAGAATGACTCCACCAGGCAAGGCAATAAATTAAACAGAAAAGGAAAGAAGGAAGCCAACAGCAGGAAAATAACATGATAGAGATAAGACAATACATATCAGTTATAACCATCAATGTAAGTGGTCTCAATTCACCAATCAAAAGAAACAGACTGACAGAATGCATCAAGAAGCATGATTCAACAATATAAGAATGGCTGTTATCAAGAAACCAACCAATAACAAATGCTGGAGGTACTGTGGGGAAAAAGGAGCCCTTCTCCACTGTTGGTGGGAGTGCAGACTGGTGCAACCACTGTGGAAATCAGTGTGGAGATTCCTCAAACTAAAAGCAGGGGCTGGGGATATAGTTCAATGGTGCTGCACCTGCTTGGCAAGTGCAAGGTCCTGAGTTTGATCCCCAATACTGGAAAAAAACCCTAAAACTAGAGGTTCCATTTGACCCCACTATTCCCCAGCTGGGTGTCTTCCTGAATGAATTAAAAGCATCAGACCACAGCCCTACATGCACACCCATGTTTATAGTGGCACAGTTTGTAATAGCTGAATCTGGAAACAGCCCAAGTCCCCATCACCTGACGAGTGGATAAAGAAGATGTATTATATATATAATATATATACAATGGAGTGCTACTCTGGCAAAAAGAAGGATGAGCTTCAGATGTTTCTAGCCAAAT